GACATACTGCCATGTCTAACTCTTTTTACCGTTTCTGGTGCCAGCCGTCCCTCCCAGGCACTCACTACGTCTCTCCTGGGTCTGATAATTCATTGCAACGGCCACCCAGAACTCACAGGCAATACTCATGATTATGGGGTTTCTTAGAGAAGGAATTTAGGATCGGAAACAACTCAGGATACAGTTTTCCGATCAGGACAGCTTCTTCTTAGCTGTGCCTCAGGCACGCTTCTCTCTGGCTTCAGCCTCTGCCTTGCTTGGGCCAGTATTACAAAGCTCTTTCAGTTTTGCAGATAGGTGCCCAAAGAGGCGCCCCACTCCGCCAGGAAGCCTCCTGCCTCAGTTTTCTCGCTCTGTGGGCCAGGCAGCCCGTCTCTCTGTCTCTGGCTGGTCCCTTGGCTCTGCTGCCTCTGTTGCTCGCTCTTTGCGTCTCTGTGCCTCCAGGGGGTCCAATGCAGGGATCCCGGGTCCCCTGTCAGGTCTCCTCTTGATGGCAGTGAGACTCCACTTTTCCGCCTCTGGGACAGCTCACTGTTATCAGCCTAGCAAGATGACAAAACTGACCAATCCCCACGCTAGGGTTCCATACACTTCATTTGCATGGTCCCACCCCCAGAAGGGAGCCAGGTACCTTATTTACATTACTAATAACCCATCCAATCCCCTTGGGCGTTCACCAGCATCTCAGATTTGCATAGTCCCGCCCAGTCATCTGGTGGGCGTTGCCGTGACCACGGCCAGAAGAGCCACACCAAGGAACTCCCTGCAGCACAAGGGTGAAGAATCTATCACAGTGGGAAAATAATAGTGTTTGATGATGAGAGGACGGTGTCTGGCGTGTCGAGTGCCACACACATTCGCTCCTGCAGTTGCCACAACCACACAAAGCGGAGGTTGTTGGTAGTCGTTCCTGAATCGGCGATGACCCCGTGAGCAGAACAAAACGCCGCCCGGTCCCACAGCAGCCCCACGGTGGCGGGGCCGCTCCAGTCCTCCGCTGTAGCCACCGCACTGCGAGTGCCTTCCGGCCTGGAGGCCCGTCTCCCAGCACCATGGCAACACGCGGGCCACCACAGCAGGACACTCTGACAGCTGAGCGGCTTGCAAAGAAGAACCGTATTCTCTCCCGGTTCTGGAGACCAGAGTCTCATTCAGGATGTCAGCAGAGCCATGCTGCCTCCAA